CTGCGCAGCTACCTTGGCTTGCAGATCACCCGGGACAGAGCACGCCGCACCATTACCCTGACTCAGTCACACATGGTGCAGCAGGTCCTTCAGCGCTTCGGCTTCACGTACTCCTCGCCTCAGGCCACTCCTCTGCCTACTCACCACTCGCTCTCAGCTCTGCCTTCGGATGAGTCCGTAGAGTCGAGTGGCCCGTACCCAGAGCTTGTTGGCTGCCTCATGTACCTGATGACCTGCACACGACCTGACCTCGCATACCCTCTTAGCATTCTCGCACGCTATGTTGCTCCTGGGAGACACAGACCGGAGCACATGGCTGCAGCGAAGAGGGTGTTGCGTTACTTGTGCAGTACGTCGGGCATGGGGCTTGTGCTTGGAGGGCAGAGTCCAGTGGTCCTCACTGGGCACGCAGACGCTTCTTGGGCTGACGACCAGGCTACGCAGCGGTCGTCACAGGGTTACACCTTCAGCCTTGGTTCCGGCTCTGTTTCGTGGCGGGCTACCCGCTCGTCTTCTGTTCTCGGCTCCAGTTGTGAGGCTGAGATCTACGCCGGGGCCATGGCTGCACAGGAGCTTCGCTGGCTCACCTACCTGCTGACTGACCTCGGAGAGCCGCCTCGTTCTCCTCCAGTGCTGTACGTAGACAACAAGGCCATGCTGGCCTTGTGTCGAGAGCAGAGACTGTAGCACAGAACGAAGCACATTGCTCTCCGCTACTTCCTTGCTCGTGAGCTACAGCAGCGTGGTCAGCTGCGGCTTGCGTACGTGGCCTCTCAGGCCAACACTGCTGATATCTTCACCAAGGCACTTGCGCCTTGTGATCATCAGCGCTTCTGTACTCAGCTGGGTCTTGTGCCCACCTTGCCTCACTTGCTCACCCCTTGACCTTGTTTGTACTGATGCATATATATATACTCCTGCTCTTGCTTGTCTAGCCTTATATGTATATGTAATCCTGCATGTGAACTGGCCTTGTGGCCTTGAACTTGTGCTCGGAATGTGTGGTGACTTTGTGATCCACCCTGAGCTTGCTTTGCTTTGCTTGACTGGTCTTGTGACCCCTTGTTCTCCCCCACTTTGCCTATGGGGGTGTGTCAGATTTATATGACATAGCTACTGTAGGCTATAGTGGGGTAGCACATATGGGGTACAGTTTTCTAGGGTTTGCATTTGTACCCAACTTTCCCTTAGTCAATCCATTCCTCGTTTCTTCTCATAAACGAGCCTAAACGGGCTGCGCGCGGGCTGCTTAAGTGACGCGCGCGGGCTGCTTAAGTGACGCGCGCGGGAAAAAAGAAAAAAAATGGGGCCGCGCGCGTGCAGCCGAGGCGCGCGCGGGCAGCAGGCAAGGCAGGCAAGAAAATGAGGTAATGTGGTAACGGGTGGGCCCTAATCTTAGGTCCTAAAGGCCTCTAGGCTCTAGATACCATCTTAGAGTATAGGCATGAGTGAAATTGACTGTTGAGAGAGTTGGTACAAAGGAGAAACCTAAGGGGTTGTACCCCACAGTGAGTACCCCACTAAGCCTACCCAAACTATAACATATATATATATATATATGTATGTTTGACAAGACTATGGAGCTGCTGATAAGGACGAACTGCCCCGACCCTGCTCGCTGGGAAAACTCGCTCGCCATGTTGGAGTTTGCCTTCAACAATGCCCCGTCCAGCATGACTAATCACTCCCCGTTCTTTTTAAATTACGGGATGGACCCGATGGTGCCTACAATGACTACACTCGACAACCCGGTCCCGCGTGAGAAAAAATAGTAGGAAGAAGATCAAGTTTAACTAGGGCCTAGGCTTAGGAGCCTAGGCCCAACTAGGATGTCGAGTAGTTTGTGCCTAGGGTGAGAGTCGAGAAAGTTGGAAAGGATGGTTTCACTATAGGTTTCGAAGAACATATAGCAAAGGAAACAAATAAGGTGCACCACCAAACAAAGTTTATAATAACTACACTAACTACAGCTACAGGCAGTTACAAATATAAGTTCTGACACTCCCCCATAACTGCCTGCATCAGGAGTTTGTGCAGAATACAACCTGCAGGGGTACACATGCAAAATAATAAACAAGCAACAGCAGGTACTGCAGGCGGGCTAACACTAGCTGGTCACCCCCTCCATCTCCTCACCCTCCTCCTTCCCTTCCCCCACACTGCTGCAGGAGCAGCAGAGAGGGGGGGGAAGAGAGGAGAGGTGGAGGGACGGCTGCTGGTTGCCTCACACCCGCCACCCCGGTGCCACTCCCCCGTCTCCCCCACACCCTCACACCCTCCCCCCCAGCGGCAGCTGCAGCAGTGGGAACGAAAGGAGGAGGAGGGGAAGGGAAGGATACGACCCGACGCTCCAACACCCGCCACCCCCATACCCTCCCCCCCACGGCTGCAGGGAGACAAAGGAGGAGGGGGTGGGCGGGAAGAAAGCCGCAGAGCGGCTACAATGTGTCGGCGCAGGTAGGTCAGGGGCGGCTGCAGTGAGAGCAGGTGCGGAGAGGCGCGTCGCGTGCCACGGGGCGCACGACAGGTAAGTTTAAGGTAAGGGCACCGTCGTGTGCCTCGGGGCGCACGACGAGCAGGGCACCGTCGCGTGCCACGGGGCGCACGACGGGCAGGTTTAGGGCACCGTCGCGTGCCACGGGGCGCGCGACAGGCAGAGTAGGAGTCACTCGCCAACCGGGGGCGGGACAATAGAAAATCGCCACGCGCCCTAGGCGCGCGACCGGAGAAACGTAGCAGCGGAAGCATGAGGCGGGCCCACAGGCCAGGACGTAACTCGCTCTGATAGCATGAGAAAGTTTAGAAGAAAGAAGAGGGTTGCACTAGCAAGAATGGGGATACAAATAGCAAAACCCTAGAAGAGTTGTACTCGCTATAGAGCACCCCACTACAGGCTAGAGCATAATATTCTGACACCGCGGTCACAAACATTCGTGACGGAGCTCCAGGAAGTTCGAGAAAAAGCTGCGCACGCAATTCGCAAGGCGAATACCACTTCCCGCAAATACACCGACCTTTTACGACGAGAACTCGTTCTGGCAGCTGGACAACTAGTCCTACTCGACACGAAGAATCTACGACTGCCCGGCCCATCGAAATTACGGCCACGATTTTGTGGGCCTTTCAAGATCATCACGATGGTGACACCTGTCACCGCGAAGCTGCTACTACTCGACGACTGGCGTATCCATGACGCTTTCCACGTCAGCTTACTTCGCAAATTCGTGCCAGCCACGACTGACATCGCACGTCAACAGGCTGCACCAACGGCACGCTCGGTACTAGAACCGACACTTGACCCGTCCAAGGTCTTGGCGCATCGTGTACGACTGGACGCCGCTGGACGCCACGTGGATATTTTAATCCGTTGGACTGACCGCACCAGTGAAGACGACACGTGGGTGTCCTCCGCGTCGCTTGCAGACTCTCCGCTTATTGTGGATTATCTAGCCCGCAAGCGAGCTACGGATATTGACCGGGGAGGGGGGGGGGGGGGGGGGGGGGGGGTAGTGTAAGGAATTTTCCCGAATTCCTTATCGGGGTTGACTGCTTCGCGTACAGCCCCGATTTTCGAACTCTGCACGTTTGGCCGACATCAACAATGCTGAGCCTCCTCGCGTCGCCTTCGGCATTTCCTCTCGCCAAATCTGCACCCAACTTCACTCACCCGAAGTTCCCTCCTAGCTAGACTAGTCACTATATTAGCGTGTGCCTTCATTGTATGATCAGTCTGTTCAATAACTTCTTCGTTATTCGTTAACCTGCACACTCTATACAACTCATACCGTATGGCCCCGGATATAGGCGCCGTCCGATTAAAGGCGCCGGCGCCTCTATCTGGAGCATGGCGCTTATGGTCGTTCCTTGATTATAAGCGCCCCCCCTAGAAAACGTTTACTTATTATAAGCGCACGTGCAATTCTAGTTTAAATTCTTGCTTAAAACGGTAACGAAATTAATTTTTGCAGCGAGTCAGATTCCGATTTCGCTTGGTTTGACTCGCGAAGACCTGACTGGCTGCACATCTAGTCAGGATCTGCTAGCATGACGTGTCTTTGCCTGTGTGTGCACCCAGAATATCGCTTGCGCGAGATTTTGTTTTGTGACGCTAAAGCATTTCGACTCGGTTGAAATGGCAAGAAGAAAATGAACAATTTGGTGATCTAAATATATAATTTCGTATTTGTCATTATATAAGCGCCGGCGCTTATGGCCGTTACTCAATTACAAGCGCCCCCCCTCAAAAAAATGAATTTATTTTAAGCGCATATGCGCCTATATCCGGGGTAATACGGTAACAACATTACAGTTCAATTCGAGCGAAGGATGTAACGATGACGCGAAATATTGGTGTGCTTTACGGGCCTAACCCGGGGTTCGCCGTAGGCGGGTCATATGTCTCTTGTACATTCTCTGTGGTTGGATTTGTTGCGTCACGGCGGGAAACGGTAATACTCGATAACCGCTTTTCACCGTTCTGAGCCACGAAGCATGAACTGTAAATGTACAACCTGCTGACATAGGTCAGGACCGCGGGTTACCAGGCAAATCTTGAAGTTGTCAGAACAACAAGTTGGATCACACCTGGATCGCGGTTCGGCCACACAACACAGTGCGGGCTAAACCTAAGCCGTCGATTGGCCGACATGGCCGCCCGCAGCACCCCAGGAAAGCGAAACAGCTCGCCGAAACTCCAGCCACTGAAACTAGATCCGGTTTATACAGAGTGTCGGGCCGGTTCAAAGCGGTAAAACAGCTGAAACCTTACAATTTACAGCATCCTACTTGACCGTACTTACCCAAGTGCATTCCCTCCGCCACTCCTCCACAGCTCACGGCAATACAACGAATCTCGCCGCCAAATTCTCCTTCTGACCGCGCGAGCCTCTCAGCCTTTCGCCTCGCTCGCACGCACTCTGCGACCACAGTATCCGCTGGCAATTTACATCTAGTGCACACGCGCTGCGACTACAGATCGCGGCTGCGAATGCACACGCGCCATGGCGTCGCCTCTCAGAGCCACCGCCAGCAGCGGGCGTCTCCAGCAGCGGTCACCAACGACACACGCCGTCGTGCCTCTCGACCAACCGCTGCTGCCCTTCCGCCTATCATCTCCGCTCGACTCCACCGCGTCAGTGCGCGCCGACGACTCGACGGCGTCGCTACGAACAGCGATAGATGACGAACTTCTGTCGCTCGAAGGCCACGTGTCGCGAGAGGTGGAAGAAGGGCGGTGGAATCGCGCGCACGCGTCGCCTACGATCCGCCCATCCCCGCCGTCCGTCCCCGCCCGCCTGCCATCCTCGCAATCCCGCTGGCCGCCACACCGCCTTCCCGCTCGCACCGCGTTCGTCGCCCTCGTCGCCCTCCTCGCCGCGCTGCTCGCTGGCGGCTCGCTGCTGCTCTCGCGGTCGCCGCTGCCGCCGCTGAGCGACCTGCTTGCGACCACCGGCGACACAGGCGACAGGCCCCCAGACGACACAGTGAGATCTGACCTGCTGGCGCAGAATGGGAGGGCGGGTGATCGGCTGGTAGCGAGTGCGATGGAGGGTGGTGAGGAGGATGGGGCCAGCGGTGAGGAGGATGGCGCGGAGAGGCTAGAAGCGGAGGAGACGAGGCGCAGGGATAAGGAGGGGGACGCTGGCGCAAGAGGGGAGGCGGATGGGGTGGTGGGCGGAAAGGAGGGCGAGGGCGGAAAGGAGGGTGTGGGCGGAGGAGAGGGTGTGGGCGGAAAGGAGGGTGTGGGCGGAGGGGAGGGAGTGGGCGGAGGGGAGGGTGTGGGCGGAGGGGAGGGTGCGAGTGGTAGCGAGGGGATGTTGGAAAGAGAAAAGGGCGTTATGCCAGAAGAGGACGCGGAGGGAAGCAGGCAGGGCAGCAGTGGTGGGAGAGATAAAATGCGATTCAGGGAGGCAGGAGGTCAGGAGGGCAGCGAGGGAGATGAGGAGAGCAAATCAAAGAGGAGCAAGGAGAGGCGAGGGGAGAGGCGGGCGGGTAGGAGAGACGAGAGGAGCAGTCAGGATGAGAGTGCAGGGCGGGCAGCAGCAGACACCACCACCCGAGACAATGTGACTGTAGCAAACTCGACTCGAGCACAAGTCACTCAAGGCAATGTGACTCAAGGCAATGTGACTCAACGCGATGTGAATGAAGGCAACGTGACTGAAGGCGATGCGAGTGAGCAGCAGGAGGGGGCGAGTGCAGCAGCTCCGGCAGCCAGCGCTACACGTCGTGCAGTGCCGAACCCCTCAGCACCATCACGAGGTGTGCCCCCCTCCTCCCCTGCCCCCCTGCCCTCGGACCCCCTGCCCCTCGGTCCCCCTGCTTCCCTGCCCCTCTGCCCCCCTGCGCCTCTGTGTTGTGCCACCCTCTCCCCCACCTTGGCTTGTGCGGCCCGAATGGAAAGGCAGCTCTGCTGTACCCCAATCCAACCTCCGCCTCTCCCCCATCACCCTCACATCTCCCCATCCCACCACTGCCCCTCCCCTCCCCTTATCTCCCCCTCAGCGCTGCACCCTGGATGCGACCTGTCACAGGGCACATGGGTACCCACCACGCGCCCACCGCTCTACTCAGGGGCCAACTGCTCGTGGCTGAGCCCGCAGTGGGCGTGCCGCAGGGCCGCTGACCGCCCCTCCTTCCACCACGAGGCGCTGCTCTGGCGCCCCTCGCACTGCGACGTGCCGCCCTTTGACCCGCTTGACTTCCTTGACCGCCTGCGCCACCGCGCGCTGGCCTTGGTGGGGGACTCTCTCGCGCAGCAGCAGTTCCAGTCGCTGCTCTGCCTGCTCGCCTCTGCTGCGCCAGGGGCCACGGAGGACGTGGCGGGCGAGTGGGGGTTTGTGAACCTGGCGGTGAGGAGCAAGTACAAGCGCATGCGCCCCACCGGCTATGCCGTGCGCTTCCCCGCCACCAACACCACCATCCTCTTCTCCTGGTCCTCCTGCCTCTGCAAGGTGGGACGCACGCTTGAGGGCACGGAGAGGGGCTTGTGTTGGTGTCAGTCCATCCACCCGTCCTGGTCCAGGGTGTGCATGACGTGGCAGTGGTCCGCCCCACCCCCTGCACTTCCCATGCTGCTCTGTTGCTGTGTGCCCCATACTCTGCTTGCCCACTCCACTCCGCTCCCCTGCTCGCTCATCCCTGTTGTACCCCTGCCCTCCTGCTCCCTGCCCTCCTGCCTCCTGCCCCCTGCCCTCTGCCCCCTCCGCCCCCCTCAGATAGCGTACTACAACGAGAGTGACAAGCTGGAGGGCGGGGCGGCCATGCACGTGGACCAGACCGACGACTTCCTGCAGACGCACCTGGGGCGGCTGGACGTGGTCGTCATGAACAGTGCTCACCACTGGAGCAGGTGGGTGGGTGTGGCGTGAGAGGCGAGGAATGGGAGTTGCGCATGATACTTTGCCCGTTGATGAACACATGGCATGCCACGGCAGCATCACACGAAGCTCAATCCCCCCTGCAACCCCTGCACACGCCATGGCACACCACACCAGGGGCAAGGTGCGCGAGAGCAAGTGGGACGTGCACATAGCAGGGCAGCCCGTGAACATCGATGACCCTCAGCTGCTCCTTGACGTGCGTGTCAATGCGCCACCGCTGCCACACGCACACCACACAGACAACAGCAGCAGCAGCAGCAGCAGCAGCAGCAGCAGCAGCAGCAGCAGCAGCAGCAGCAGCAGCAGCAGCAGCAGCAGCAGCAGCAGCAGCAGCAGCAGCAGCAGCAGCAGCAGCAGCAGCAGCAGCAGCAGCAGCAGTGAGGGCGAGAGCAGTGAGGCGGCCACTGGGGGCAGCAGGGTGCGCATAGAGGGCAGCAGGGTGCGCATAGAGGGCAGCAGCGGCATCATGCACGCGCTGCAACGCATCGCCCTGCGCTCCACCATGGCCTGGCTGCACCGCCACGTGGCAGCCATGGGGAGGGAAGAGGGCGAGGGTGCTACAGGGCAGGCACAGGAGGCACAAGGGGGCGAGGGAGGAGGAGGGGAAGTCGTCGGTGGGGAGGGTGGGGCAGGTGCAGCAGAGGAGGGCGGTGGCAGCAGCAAGGGGGTGCGGAGGGGGGGGAGGGCGCCATTGCTGCTGCTGCGCACGGCATCGGCGCGGCACTTCTTTGACGGCGAGTGGAACACCCGCGGCCACTGCGACCACAAACGTGTGAGTGAGACACACCCTCCTTTCCCTGCCCTCCCCTCATGCTGGGCTGGTGCCCTTATGCCCTCCTGCCCTTCCTCACTTGGCTAGTCCCTCATGATTACCATCAACTATTCGTGGACTCATTTCTTACTCCCAACATGCTCCCCCTTGTTTCTGCAGGAACCCCTATCCCTGGCAGCCGTGCTGCCGCTCAACTCATCACGCGACCCGGCAGCAGAGCAGGCGGTGGCGGGGCTGCCGTCCCTGCACCTGCTCAACACGTCGCACCTGTCGTCGTTCCGCCCCGACGCACACCCGTCCCAGTGGGGGTACCTGCTGGACGCCGCCCACCAGGACTGCCTGCACTGGTGCCTGCCGGGCGTGCCCGACACCTGGAACCAACTCGTGTACGCTCACATGCTGCTCCGGGACATGCACGAGGTGGGAGAGGAGGGGGGTGTGAGGGAGGTGAAGGGTGATGGAGGGGAGAGAGGGGCGGAGGGAGGCGTCGGGGTGACGAAGAGGGGAGATGAGAGGGCAGAGAAGGAAGGTGCCAACAACTAGTTATCCTAGGTGGTCCCATAGCTGGAAAATGTAGAGTTAACTTCTGTATTATGATAATTTTTGAAAGTGTAATGAAATGTAACACTTTCTAAATTTTTGTATTGTGAAAAGGGGTACGTGGCCAACACAGCAAAGGTAGCGCCGAAACACTACTCACCCTCTTTTGCCTACAAAAGAGGGACGTGGGGACATTCGTCCCCACCCGCGTTTTCATTTCCGAAATTGTAGTTATAATTTCGTTCTCGTCCACACTGGCGAAGACTCAGTCGCTTCTGCGCTTCACGGCCCCGTCAACGCTCCTTAACGACATCCTTAAGCGCAACCTCGCAACGATGGCTCCAGTCAACCTGGCACTTAACCGCGACAACTCGAATATTTCAAGCCCCGGTAACGCGGCGGAAACCTCGACTCCGGCCGGGACAACGGATCGTCGCGGAAAACGCCCCGCCGAAGAAATTTCAAGCGAGGGACCTTCAGCGGTCGACCTCCTGCTCGGAGGCACCCTTCGGACCCCTCCTAAGAAAACGCGTGACTGGCAGGCATGCGCGTGCCACGCAGAAGAAGACGACCGCCGCTGACGTGGCAGCCGTCTTGACCGCCACTGACGCGGCAGCCGTCTTGACCGCCGCTGACGCAGGTCCACCCGGGCCCACGACCCAGAAACGCCAGCGCGCGGCACCCTCCGCTGACATCACGCCGGTCAACGCGCCCCCCCCCCCCCCCCCCCCCCCCCCTTTGACTACGCAGCAGCTGCAGGCGCTGCTCTCGTTATTGCAGCAGCACGCGCCATCGACTACAGCTACATCGACTGAAGAAATTTCTGCTTCCGCTAAAATTGAAAAGCAGAAGGAACCTGTCGCGCCCCCCCGCTCCACCAAGGTCGCTCGCACCAACAACGCTGCTCCTGCTCCCCCCCCCGGCTCCGGCACCAACCCAAGCCCGTATCCCCGACGACAGCGACGACTCGGAAAATGAAGACGGTGAGGCCCCCGACAACCTTGCTCGCCGTCGCATTCTCGCACCCGCACCCCCCCTCCCCTCCCTCAACCCTACACCCGCAGCTACTACCTTCATGCGCAAGGGAGTGCGTGACCAGGCGGAGGTGTTCTCTGCAATTCAAGCTCACCTGAGGCACGTCGAGTTCAAGCTCCAACACGGCGACGTCGAGGGCGCGCTCTCCAACGTGGCGCAAGTCGAAACGTTGATCAACAAATGTTTCGAGGTGCTCTTGGTGGCGGATGAGGCCGGCTTCGAGGCGGCGGATCGGTTCCAGCTGTACCAAGCCAAGAGCGTGCTCACGTCCCGCTCTTATAAGCTCGCGGTAGCCGACGTGGCGGCCCTCAAGCGTGCACGCACCGGTTTCGCCCGCGGAGGCCGCCTTCCCCCTCGAGACGGCGAAACGAAAAGCAAAGGCATGCCGCCCGCGGGCTGCCACGAGCCCCGCTTCAAGGGAGTGTGTTTTCGTTGCGACCAGCCCGGCCATATGACGAACAATTGCCCTATGGGAGGACGTGGAGCACAAGGTCCCGCACCCGTGGTGTGAGAGGACCCATGGGGCGGCGCCCCTTGCCACTGCGCCGGGGGGCGTAGGTGGATGCACCAGTGGTGCGTAGGCTGGTTAGGAGCCTTGGAGAGTTGCATAGGCCATGAGGGCCAGGACAAAATGGCAGCCGTAGGGGCTGGTTATGGTGTAGGCCTAGGCTTGTATGCCGTTGTGTGGATTCATAAAAGAATATTGTTATCAAAAAAAAAAAAAAAGGGGGGGGGGGGGGTGGGAGAGAGAAAGAGAGACAACAAGAGGAGGGAGGACGGATGGAACGGCAAGTCAAAAGCCAGCCCCCTTTGGAGGAAGGCAGCCATGGAGGAAGAATTGGCCAAGGGTGAATTACGAGGCAAGGACCGAGAGAAGAAGAAGAAGAAAAAAAAAGAAAAAAAAACACACACACACACACACGGAATGAGGGAGAGGAGAGAAAGAGAGAGAGGAAGAGAGAGAAAGAGGGAGAAAGAGAGAGGGAGAGAGAGAGAGAGAGAGAGAGAGAGAGAGAGAGAGAGAGAGAGAGAGAGAGAGAGAGAGAGAGAGAGAGAGAGGGAGACAGAGAGGAAGAAAGGGGGAGAGAGAGAGAGAGAGAGAGAGAGAGAGAGAGAGAGAGAGAGAGAGAGAGGGAGAGAGAGAGGGAGGGAACGAGCAAGCAAGGGAGAGAGAGAGAGACAAAGAGCGAGGGAGATAGAGAGAGAGAAAGAGAGAGAGAGAAAGAAGGAGAGAGAGAGAGAGAGAGAGAGAGAGAGAGAGAGAGAGAGAGAGAGAGAGAGAGAGAGAGAGCGAGTGAGAGTGAGAGTGAGAGAGAGAGAGGGAGAGAGAGAGAGAGAGAGAGAGAGAGAGAGAGAGAGAGAGAGAGAGAGAGAGAGAGAGAGAGAGAGAGAGAGAGGCCACGAAGACATCGTGATGAACAATGTTGTGGGACCAAGTGACGCACATGCGCCGATCTCGTTGTAAGGCAACCTCAAAAAAAAAAAAAAAAAAAAAACACACACACACACACACACAAAAAACCCCTGCAAGGGCGTCATGGCCGACGAGTGGTCAAGGGAATGTTAGAATGTGAGCGAATGAATGAACTAGAAAGCAGGTGGGTACAAGTAGAAAACATAAAAGTGTTGTACCCTATAAGAACTACCCCACTATAGCCTAAACAGACTATAGCATATAAGTTTGACACACCCCCATAGGCAAAGTGGGGGAGAACAAGAGGTCACAAGACCAGTCAAGAAAGGCAAAGCAAGCTCAGGGTGGATCACAAAGTCACCACGCAGTCTGAGCACAAGCAAATGGCCACAAGGCCAGTTCACATGCACAGTTATATAAAGGAAAACAAACAATACAGTGAACACAACCTAGCAAGTGTAAGCATGCAGGTATATGTATAAAGAGTACAGTACAAGCAGAGTCAAGAAGTAAGCAAGTGAGGCACAGTAGGTACAAGGCCTAGAACAGTACAGAAACGCTGATGATCACAAGGCTGAAGTGCCTTGGTGAAAACATCAGCAGTGTTGGCCTGTGAGGCCACGTAAGCAAGACGAAGCTGGCCACGCTGCTGCAACTCTCGAGCAAGGAAGTAGCGCAGAGCAATGTGCTTCGTTCTGTGCTCCAGTCTGTGCTCCTGACACAAGGCCAGCATGGCCTTCTTGTCGACGTACAGAACTGGAGGAGAACGAGGCGCCTCTCCCAAGTCGGTCAGCAGGTAGGTGAGCCAGCGTAATTCCTGTGCAGCCATGGCCCCAGTGTAGATCTCAGCCTCACAACTGGAGCTGAGAACAGAAGAAGAGCGGGTAGACCGCCAAGAGACAGAACCGGAACCAAGACTGAAGGTGTAACCCTGTGACGACCGCTGCGCAGCCAAGTCGTCAACCCAGGAAGCGTCTGCGTGACCAGTGAGGACAACTCGAGCCCGTCCTCCAAGCACGAGCCCCATCCCCGACGTACTGCACAAGTAGCGCAACACCCTCTTCGCAGCATCCCAGTGCACCTTTCGGTGTCGACCGGGAGCCACGTAGCGAGCCAGAAGGCTGAGAGGGTATGCAAGGTCAGGTCGTGTGCAAGTCATCAGGTACATGAGGCAGCTCACAAGCTCTGGATACGGGCCACTCGGCTCTACGGACTCGTCCGAAGGTGGAGCTGAGAGCGAGTGACCAGTAGGCAGAGGAGTGGACTGTGGCGAGGAGTACGTGAAGCCGAAGCGCTGAAGGACCTGCTGCACCATGTGTGACTGAGTCAAGGTAATGGTGCGCTGTGCTCTGTCCCGGGTGATCCGCAAGCCAAGATAGCTTGTCAGTTCACCTAGGTCTGTGCACGTGTGTCTCTTCTGCAGCTCGGACTTCACGTGGGCGAGTGCCTCAGTGTCAGCAGTAGCAAAGACGGGGTCGTCTACGTACACGAGAACGTAGAACGGCGGAAGAGTGGTGTCAGTGCGTAAAAACAGTGAAGGGTCAGCAGTGGAAGGAGCAAAACCAAGAGTAGCAAGAGTCGTGCCACTCACGGGGTGCCTGGCGGAGACCGTAGACTGGCCGCCGGAGGCTCCACTGGGTACCAGCAGGAAACGACCCAGTGAAGCCAGGTGGGCAGCGCAGCCAGATCTCCTCGTGTAGGCTGCCCTGTAGGAAAGCTGTGCTGAAGTCAAGCGAGTGGAGCTCGTAGTCACGCTGAGCAGCAACGTGCAGCAATACCCGAAGAGTGGTCATCTTCGGGGTAGGGGAGAAGGTCTGAAAGAAGTCAACTCCCTGTCGCTGACTGAAGCCACGTGCAACGTAACGCGCCTTGAAGACAGGCGGAGAACCCGGCGGCCGCTTCACCCTGAAGATCCACATGCCACTGACGATGTTCGCCCCAGGTGGGGGAACCTCGTCTGTGTAGGTGCCTGTGGACTTCCAGGAAGCCATCTCGGCGTCCATGGCTGCCTGCCACTGAGAGGAGTAGGGACCCTCTATCGCCTCTGCGTAAGAGCGCGGGGTCGGGATGTCTGGTGCATCCGGGTCTCCCTCAGGGGCAAGCAGCATGGACACGAGATGAGGTACAGCAGCGGCAAAGCACTCAAAATCCTCCCGTCTATCCTCAAGAACGTCCGTGCCAAGAGCACACTCACCCCCGACGGACGGAGGACAGACAGACGCAGACGCAGACTCAGCAACAAGACTAGTGGCGAAGTCTAGGCGACAGGCTGCAGCAAAGTCAACAAGCTCAGCAACTAGAGCAGACGCAGCAGAGGACTCAAACAGAGGGTCAGTGACAGCAGTGGCCAGGAAGCGCATGATAGTATGACTAGCAGCACGAAGGGAGTCAGACTCCGGGTCCGGACCGACAGGAAGAGAGGACGCAGGAGGAGAGGGCAGAGGGACACGCTGTGGAGCAGTGGAAGGACGCAGTGTCATAGAGTGAGTGCCAGGGACAGGAGGAGGACGCGGACGCAACACACGACCAGTGCGAGCAGGGCGGACAGGCGACT